AACAGCATACATGTTCTACCCCCCTTGTGAGGGTTGTTGATACATAAAGTTGTTGTCACCGTGAGTCGGCAATTCGAGGCCACAGCTGCACTACATCAGCCTCATAGTGACGCCGGTCAACAACTCCTACAAGAAGCCACTGGGAGCTCGACCTGCGGGAGCAGCACTACTGACTTTAGGTCACCAGTTCACACGGGAGCCTTAGAAGGCTCGACCTGCAAGGGTGTCCATGCAGTCCGTTGGCTGCCGATTCCCACAAGAGCCACGAAGAGCTTGACTTGCAGAGGCAACCTCGCAAAATGGGGCTGATGAGGCCTCGTCCTAGCTGACTGTTGTTGAGGTCGTTCTGCTGCTATCTACATCGGGCTTCTCCCATGCTCAGATCTGGAAATTCATGCTTCATCTCATAGAACTGCCACACTTCAATCTCGGCGGTAATCACTGATGGCTCTACCGCGAGGAGAGGGGTGTTCACATGCGGTAGCGGTGTATTTATCTGGGGCACTGGGAACGCTGGGTTCGGCTTGAACTTGTTTGATTGTCACAGGGGAGTTCTCAAGGTTCATCACAGATGTTCTTGCTCCCGAGTAATTGATATTCATTTTGGATGTTGGTGCTGCTCAAAAATGCCTTTTAGTTCATCAAAAATGGTAATTAGAGAGTGAGAACTTAAATTCTTAAAAGGCGAGATCTTAGCTTTCTGGAAGATGAGGACTTAGCTTTTCAGAATGTGAGAACTTATCTTCTTGTAGCGTTTCCCACAGATGGCGCCAATTGATCGTGCGTGATCTGGATGCTCCTAGTTGTAAGGCAGCTCGGACATCGGTTGCCAAGTGGATCGCCTAAACTACAAGAAAGAAGGATCAGAGAACCCGGGGTGACTAACCCGGCGAGGTCGTTTCGATGCTTAAGTCAGTTCTCTATAAGTATTTGCGAGCTAGAAATCAATAAAGTGGAGAGCTAGAATGCACTTAATCGCGCGTACCTTGTGTCATTAGGGTTGGTGCCTTTATATAGGCATTGTTTGGCATAGGCTTCATGCACCGCATCCGAGATTTTCAGGAGGTCGTGCCTTACCGTTCCGAAATCCTCGGAGGTAACCACTATGCACATTGACCATCCTCCAGAACATTCAGTACGCGGGTCAACTTTCGAGAAACCTGGGAGTGTCTGGATATGGATGCAGAATTTTTCGGCAAGCACATCTCGCAGGTCACCGCCTGGTCCTTAGTCAGGTCGGCAAGCCATCGAGGGAGGTCGCGCCTCGCGTCAAGGTCACTTCGGCCGATGACGAGGTGCTATAGGTCGGCCCTGGATAAGGTGCTGCAAGCCGACCTAAGTTGTGGTCGAGGTTGCCAGGTCGGTGGTAAAGGCAGGTCGCCAAGTCGAGGCAAAGATGAACTACGATCTGGGACTCCAAATCTTCGCTTAGGTGGCATTTGGGTGTTGTCCAGCTATTTCAAGATGCCATGTGTCATGAGGTTATTGGAGGGCCAAATCCACCCTCATCAATAACTGAAGAAGTGAATCCTATTCTAGATTGTTCCTATTCAAGCAATCCTACTATATATTGTTCTTGTTCTACTCGTTGTCGATTGTTTACGAGCAGAGGCCTTTTCCCTTAACGAGGTCTTTTTCCTCATGTCACTATTTGATGAAGAAGAAGGAAAAATGGAGGCAGATTCGACTCCAATCCCGCAGGCGAACATGCAATGTTCCTCTGCCGATTTTGTCAAGGAACCTCCTATATCCATGTTTCTAAGGGAGGATTTCACGAGATGGCTACAGCCTCCTAGAGAACTCTAGTCTAGTCCGAGAAACATCAAGACAACTGGTTTCGTTTTACAGCTAAAAATTGTTGAATTGCTCAACAACTTATTGACCTGAGTGGTCAAATTATCGACCTGTTCAATGGTTTTGGCCAATTTTATTTTAATGAGTTTTTTTTATATTTTTTAATTTTTTTGGTTAGAATGGGCCATCCATTCAAACTGTATAGTTGAACCATCAACCTGAAAACGGGTGGCCAGAACAGTTTTGGTTTCAACTCAGTTTTTAAAACATTGGATATAAAAGTAGTAGACAAAAACCTAAGTATAATAGGTCATGGTCCTGTTGAAAATATCTCACACTGGAACAAAGAACATTGCAAAGATCCATTATTAAACAAAAGCTCTACATTTTAAGGTAACAGATCTTGATAAGGTAATAGTTGTTGATAGAAAGAAGCCTAGGGTTGTGCCCAACCCAATACACAAACATTATGCCCAGAAGGGGTGCAATTTTCCCCGTCCCCGTCGGGTACCCGGGCTCCCTAACCCGATGGGGTCGGATATGGGGAGTTATTTGGCAGGGTTGAGGTCGGGGATGGGGCGAGCCCTAAATCCCCGATCAGGTTCGGGGACAGGGATGGGGAATACAATCCCCGCCCTGCCCCGGCCTCGATTAATATATATATATATTAATATATAATATAATATTATATATAATATAATATAATATTTTATATTTTATATTATAATAATTATTATTCATTTTTTAAAAGATTAAAACTTAAAAAAAGTAAAACACTCGATGACTCAATAGTAAAACCTTTTGACTTTGAGTCTTTGACAGAATCCTAGCTTTGTCTTCCTTCGTTAGTTCGTCTTCGTTGTCGATTCACCGTCCGTCGCCATCAGACATCGGACAGAGGATAGAGAATAGATATTCAAAGAAGAGTTTCAGTTCTTTAATCTTCCTTCAACCTATGTCATCATCGCCGATTGCCGTTGCCTTGCCCTTCAGACTCTCATCGCCGACCTCAGCTCTCGCAACGGTCCCCCCTCTCTCTCTCTCTCTCTCTCTCTCTCTCACTGTCTCAGTCTGTAGTTCGTCGAGGATTCGGGTCTCCGATAGGGAATTCATCCCCATCGGAGTCGGGGATGGAGGGGGGTGATTTGGGGGTCGAGGTCGAGGATGGAGAATGTAATCCCCGCCCTGAACCCACCCCGTTGCCATTCCTAATGCCCAGCTTGGTTTCCATTAGTAATTCTGGGTGATTCCTGATGTGGAACAACGAGAAAGCATATTGGTTTCTATCACTAATTCTAGGAGTGTCTTAAAGAGTAGCCAAAATTGGGGAACTCAATAGTCGGTACACAGGATTTATATAGAGTTGGATGCTATTAAGCATGGTTTTAAAAAAAACCCAGAAACGGAATTATTTTGGCCACTGGCTTTTGGGTCGATGATTTGACCGTTTGATTCGAATGAATGACCCATTCTAACAAAAAATTTAAAAATAATTAAAAATAAAAAATGGGCAAAAACGTTGAAGAGGTCGGCGATGGAGGTGATGTTTCTAATGTATATATATATTTTCAGCCACCGTGTTGGATGCCTTGTACAGAAGAGGAATGATGAGTTCAGGGATTGGACCCTTCTTGTCGGGTCTGTTCCAGTTCTACATATATCTGACCCGTTGACAGCCCTTGTTGGATTTGGTCCATTCCAACCCAAATTGCAACCTCTTCTGATTAGGAGACCCGGATCTCCTCCTCACACAGGGTGCCTCACTCGTGCCTCACATGCACATTGTACCATGCATTGGGAACATCTCCCTTATTTATAAATTATTATTCATGAGAGATGTTCCCAATGCACAGTGGATGTGCATGTGAGGCGCCTCCGTGTGAGGAGCAGATCTCGTTCCTCTGATTAGGGGTAGGGGTGAGAAAAAAAACTGAAAAACCGAACTGGCCAAAAAAGCGATTAATCGAACCAGTCGGTTCGATATTCTTAAAAAGCTGATAGTTTCAGTTCAGTTTTGGTTAGCCATTTAAAAAAACCAGCGGTTAATCGAATAAGCACTTTCGGCGGTCTGAATGCTGAATTATATAATGAGCACTTTCAGGCTTTCTCTTTGAAAGTTTCAAAGAGAAACTATTGGCTTCTGCAGAGTGCCAGACTGGAGACTCTCAGTCTCGAAAATAGAAAAGTTTCACACCATTCCCTTTCTTCTCTTTTGTCTCGATGGTATTCCTTCCACCAACTTCTTCAAACCAGATTCTCAATCTCTCACAGTCTCACTCTCTCAGATTCTCAATTATTTCTTTCCCAACGGACCAACAGCCTCCGGTGCTCCGCCCTTCGACTGAAACACTGATGGCCTCCAATGATCGAGTCACCATTCACCGACGTTCGACACTTTGACCAGGCAACTAGTGTTCACAATTGTCTCATCTCTCTCACTCTCARTTCACAGTTCTGTCTCTCATCTCCGACCACCCCTTTCTCTCTCTCATCTCTCTCACTCTCAATTTACAGTTCAGCCCACTTGTTCAGTGTTCACTCTCTCCAAACCATCGGTAGGGAAGGTTTTCCCCTTTTTTTTTAATATATTGAGGGCATAAAAAAACTAAAAAACCAAACCACGGTTAACCGGTCTACCATTTAACCGGTTGCATCGGTTTGATTTCAATTTGGTTAAATTGAAAAACCGAACAGTTCCATTCAGTCCAGAAAATTACCCCACGGTTCGAACCGAACCATGGGCACCCCTAATTAGGGGTGCAAGCCGGGCAAGTTGGGCCAGGTTTAAGTTCAATCTAGGCCAACCCTAAGAGTTGAGCCTAATGTTTGAGTCCAAGGTCAAGTCTCAACTGTCCAATTTGGGATTTTATGCACTTGGGTTGGGTTGGGCTCAAGCCCAAGCCAGGCTCGACTTGGTCAGCCACAGACTCAGACTATGTATGTACATAGACAAGCTGAGCTTAGGTTAATATAAAGTAGAGTCAGGCTCAGACTAGGTTCGGGCTATAAGGATTAGGCCCGGCCCGGCCGAAAATAAAAAGTCCAAAATTTTCAGCCCAATTCTAGTCCAAGAACCGAAAATCAAAGCTCGATCCGTGTAAAATTGCGGGCTAGGCCGGTCTGGGCTCGAGTTGAGCCCGCCCAAGCTGCACCCCTACTTCTACATTTCTACTTCTGTTCTCTCGTCAATACTCGATTTCCTGGTAATGCAGAGTCTCAGAAAGACTCCCTGCTTGGAATTTCCGCCAGAAATGTTTCTCTGTCATTCCGTTCGTCACTCAAGGCTTCGAACCCCCGCAACCCTCAGCATCTCCGCTTCTCTTTCTCTCCTCTCCTCGCAGACTGAGACTACAAACCCTAACAATCCTCCTCCCCGCAAAGGCAGACAAGCCGTACGTCGCCTTCTAAAGCTTCTTTCCACCGCTTCCCAGCAAAACCAAAACCCTCATCTTTGCGAAATCCTAAAGTCCCTCCAATGCTCTCCCGTCACCATCTCAACTTCCCAAGCTTCAACACTAATTTCCTCCATTTCGAATCCCCTCATCTCTTTCGATTTCTATCGATTCCTCAGGTCGCTGAAACCCGTCTTCCAACCTGATTCGATTCTCTTCTCCTCTTTGATAAAGTCTCAGCTTCAGTCTGTCAATCCTCATCTCCCCAAGATCCTATTCTACTTCGGTGAGATGAAGAAGCACAAGGTTTCCCTCTCCCATGATGATTTCTGCTGCCTCTTCTGCTTGGTTGTTCCCGGTTATGTTGACATTGCCGATTTTTTTGTCCGGGAGCTATTGGAAAAAGCTGAATTCGACGAGTGTGCTTATAATTATGCCATGTCGATTTATGCGAAACACGGGTTGTATAAAGAGGCGATTTTGGTTGCAGAACGAGCTAGGGCAAGGTCGCGGGAACTTACTTTAGAGTTTTACTCGTGCACGATGGATGTCTACGGGAAGAAGGAGGATGCGGGTTCTGCGATGAAGCTATTCCTGGAGATGGAAGAGAGAGGTATTCTTGCAGATGAAAGGGTTTATAGGAATCTGTTAGGAGTTCTTTGTAAAGCCGGGTGGGTTAAGCTCTGTTGGGTAATTCTGGAAGAGATGAGGAAGGTTGGGTGCAGACCTGATGAGCGTTTGGCTATGGATTTGCTGAGGAGATTTCTGAAAGAAGGTATGGTTTTGGAAGCTGGATGTTTTTTCAAAGAAGGAATCCTCAAGGATATGAAGAGTTTGGCTGTTTATGCGGAGGCAATGGAAGAAACAAAGAGGCCATGGACGGCTTTTCAACTTGTACAAGACCTGTGCAAATCCGGTTTGGACGTCAGTGGATGTGTCTATGCGTCTCTGATTCGTGGCTGTGGGAAGATTGGGCTGATTTATGTTGCTGAGAAGATATTTGCGGGAGTAAAATCTTCAACTTCTGTTGAGAATCGAGAATCGGTGTATACGTCTATGATTTATGTGTATTCGAGAGCGCAAATGAAGAAGTCGGCGGAAATTTTTTGGAATGAAATGGAAAGCACAGTGGGTTTTGGAGGAAATGCAGAGCCATTCTTGTATATGATGTCAATGTATGGAGAGCTGGGTCTGATTGAAGATGTATTGAGGATGTTTGACAGGTGGAAGAATAGTGGTTGCTGTGTAAACATTGATGCTTATGCTGTTCTCATTGATGCTTTGAGCAAGTCTGGCAAGCTAAATCAAGCCAGAAGCTATCTCCTTGAGATGAGAAGGTCAAAAATTCATCCATCATCTTCAATTTATGCATATATAATGGATGGTTATTTGCAAGTTGGCCTTCTTAACCACGCCATTACAATGTTGGATGAATATACAATGTTAGGGTTAGAGGCAGATGAACTGATTGCAAGTAGCATCATCAAGACATTAATTCAAGTAGGTCGACTTTCAGAGCTTGAATTCCACTTGGATAAATTCATGAGGCAGGGAATCAAGATTTCTAGTGGTAAGGGAGCCATTCTGGTGGAAATGTGTAAAGATGATTCTTGCTTAAGAAAGCTATCCGAATTGATTCAGTGAAGAATGCCCAAAGTATATGAGCATCTGTTGATTCAGTGAAGAATGCCCATTCATCGGATTTTTGAACTTATCTTCTGAGAAAAGACTCCAAGATGGAATTCAGTAACCACTCTCTTGCCCAATGTGCATCCTTTTAGACTTGAAAAGCTCGCCTTCCATTTCTATTTGTTGAAGCTATAAGCTTTTTCCCCCTTTAAAAAAGATAATGCAGAGAACATGCAGGAGAGTGAGGGAGGCTGCTATGAAATATGGTATTAACAATAATGGATGGGATGCAATTGAACTCAGGCAATTCTATGGTTGTGCATTATGGCAAGCCAGCAAGGTACTGACAAGGCCTTTCTGCAATTTATCAAAGGAATTAAATATAAGGTCAGTAATTGAATTAAGGTGAGCTTTTTTGTTGTAAAAACAGAAATACAGATTCGAATGGCACCTAAAAAACAAAAGAAAAACAGAGATAAAGAGAAGTAAACAGAGAGAACACACAGATTTATGTGGTTCGGTTTATACCCTATGTCTATGGGTGAAGGAGCAGAAATCCACCACAAAATCAGCAATGGAGAAGAATACAGAGCTGTGCACCCACAACCTCACTCACAGAAAACCCTAAACCCCAAATACACCCAATGTCGCTTCACTTTTCTCACAAGCCAAGAGACAAGTATACAAAATAAAAAAAAAACTAAAATACATAACCCTTTGTATTCGGGTCGGACCCATAAGTTGAATATGGATTAGGTCCATACTGGAGCCCCTGCACCCCATTTGCCTTCAGGTCTTTTCTCAACTTAATTTGGAGTGGATTCATGAAGCAAGTCGCAACAAAGAATTCAAGGAACAGCCATAACACTTTTGGAAAGACTTGGTGTTCCATTTCACTGCTCATGGAGCTTTTTTCAGCACTGTTTATGGTAGCTCAAAGTGGAAGTGCAAAAGTGACAGACTAATATGAAATCTCATAGGGAATGAGTGGCTTCCTAGATTCAGAAGGAACATAAATTATGGGCTTGGAAAACATGCAGTATGTTCTCAGTGCTCAGGTGTAAGAAAGCTCAAATAAGCTTCACAGCAAAGATATGGTATCACTTCGTAAAGGCTCACTGTCACTGTGGTTCACTAGACATCAGAAGTTCTGATGCTTGGTTGGCACATCAAAGGATAAAATAATAAGAGTTACAAGATTATATAGGCTTCAATTTGGCATACTGTCATATGGACTTCTATGGCTATATAGGAACCCTTGAATCTTTGAACAAAAGAACAAGCCAGTGGAAGCAGTAATTAACAAGACTCTCAGAGGATGGATGGCAATCCATAAATTGTTCAGGGATATTCCTCCACCCAAATCTTTATTTATTTATTTTTTTATTTTGATCAATTGTTTAGTAAATATACCGTTGGTACATAAATTGCCTGTTTATATTTTATACAGAAGCTCTTTGCAGACAGGGCAAAGTGTAAACATGAGGGAGATTGCACAGGTACACATTTTTTTCTGTTAATTTTATGGAAGGTCATCCTTTAAGATGACTAACAGGATGATTATTGGGCAATCATTTGTGATGTAACCGATTCTGGTCACGTACCAATTTTTTTATTTTTTGGCTAAGTACCTCGTCATTTGACCTGCTCCCAGGAGAGGATGGTGGAGCTCCCTGATGGGGAACTGCCTGGGGGAGAGCTATGCCGAGCTATGCCGAGCTAGGGAGAGCTATGCCGAGCTCCCTGATGGTGAACTGTCCGGGGGAGAGCTATGCTGAGCTCCCTGGTGGTGAGCTACCTTGGTGGACTCGTCATTTGACCTGCTCCTATGCGGCTTGTAACTTAGAGGATGGTGGAGCTCCCTAGTGTAGCGCAACCCGACTATCCTCTGCATGAGGTGATCCCCTCTCCTTTGTAGGCGGCGGGAGCTGAGGGACCTGCGAGAACTGAACCAGGGGGCTCGGGGGTATTTACCCGACGGGGACTCTCCGATGCCTAAGTTAGCACTCTGATTGTAGAGAGCTTGAAGATGATATTAGAGGAATGAGAGAGCTAGAGAGCTAGAGAGCAGGGATTACCTCCATTTTTTCCTTCTCTCCCCCTTGGCTTTGGGGGTCGGAGTCCTTATATAGCGGTGCCTAGTCACATCAGGCGTAACCGCCACTGCCCTAGCCATTACTGCCAGGACTGAGGTGGCAGGTGCAGGCTGCTGCTGCAGGGTACGGACTCGTCAGGCGTGTTATGCTTTTCAGAGACGGCAGACACGACGCCGCCTGGCAAGAGATATGGGTGCTGCCACCAGATCTGTCAGGTACGGTTGTCAGGCAGGAGATCTTCCTGTGATATGCCAAACTGCTCTTCTGTACCGAGCTACCCTACAAGTGGCGAGCTGCCTATGGTGATGAGCTCCCTGATGGCTACTTGGTGACGAGCTCCTTGGCGAGCTCCTTGGAGAGTTGCCGAGCTCCTTGGTGGCGAGCTCCTTGGAGAGCTGCCGAGCTCCTTGGTGAGCTCCTTGGAGAGCTGCCGAGCTCCTTGGCGAGCTCCTTGGAGAGCTGCCTAGCTCCTTGGTG